CCCCCCTTCTCCCTGTGGCCCTGTACCACCACTCCCATTTGGCCCCCATCCCAGTGTGGCCCCCCCAACAGCTCCATGTGCCCCATGCTGTCCAACTCCCTCCATATCCCTTACCACCCCCCATGGCCCCATGCGCAGGGCACTGTGAGGAACGCAGCCTCTTCTCCCTCTCCCCTCTCTGCAGCTAGCTGCTCCTGACCAGAGGTGGCTGCCCTCTGTTCTGGTGCCACAGCAGTCCCTGGTGGGCAAAAAGCATAACCTCTCCAGCAGAAAGTATTTTCTGCTGAGAAAAAAAATTCTGCAGGGGACATGAATTCTGCACGTATGCAATGGCGCAGACTTCCCCACGAGTAATTTCTTAATATCGCTGTGGCACCCACAAATCTCACCTACATAAGTATGAGTCTTAATCTTACATGTCTTTTTTGGGGGGGGGGGAAATTACTATCTACTTCCATCTTCCTTTTCCAATTTATTCTGGTGGCTAGAAACAAGAACCAGCATTGTATGACCAGCCAACTGTCCACAGGCTACTTATCTCCAGAGCCCCGTCAGGTGCTGAAACACTTCATTTTTAAAAACAAATGTGCCTATAATTTAAACAGCAATATTTAAAAAATTAGTTTAGTTCTTATAACTTAAGATAGCTGCATGGTTTATTTATTCAAGTTTCAGGGGAAGAGTTTATTCATGCTCCAAATTCCTAAACTAAATTTTCATCCAGAACCAATATTTCCCCTTTTCTCCCCCTTCGGCAGTACTTTTAAAATGCAGGTGCTGATTCAGCCTCAATTAGAAAGTAGCATGAACACCTAATTGAGGACAATAAGAGTGGTTATACTGTAAGTGAATTTACTTAAGTTTTACCTCTACTCACCCTTTCAGTTCTCTTCTGTAAACACATCCAGGCTCAGATACCTGAGACCATCTATCAAAAGTTTCCTCCCAAACAGGTGTGGCAGGCTACTCAAACTTTCGCATGCTACTGAGGATACACAGTAGGGTTAAATAAGTCAGAAAGGAAGAGTGAGTTAAACTCAGTGAGACATTGCCATGGGGCTGGCTATGAATGCAACACAAGATTGTTTCCTGTTAGGTGAGGGGCTCAAACCTCCATTTACTATGGTTAAAGTGACAACTTGCCTTTTTGATGGAACTGTTACAAAAATCTGGATATCTGTACACACTCATCTGGTACTGCTCCCTACTTGGCATCTAGATTTGCAGGGCAGTTTTACCATTCTGATTTAATTGGAATTTTGAAGACCAACTGCAGGGGAAATGTGTGGAATGATTCTTAAAGGTTACTCACCAACTTCTTAAGCTGTGCTCATTGTACATTCAGACTACCCCCCTGCCTTCCCCTCTTCCTCAGGGTTCTAGCACTGTGCGACTGGTTGAGTTGTTTGGGTGTGCAAAATTGTCTCCAAATTTTCAGTGCCACAAAAAGGGATGCCCAATGGGCCCTGATTCCTTGAAGGTTGCCGTGTAGCTCCTGTGTACCAAAGGTACCTTTCGTGAAATATGCAAAAGCAGTATATTTGAACTACAGTTACTAGTCAGCTATCTTTGTATTTTGGAACAAAACAGAGGAGGAAACTCTATCCAACATCAGGAACTAAAGCCGCCATAAGAACACTGCTTTGGTGAGATGTTAATGGTTCTGAAGGGCCATTTGTATGATAATGCATGAGATTCCAACCGCAATCCATTAATACCTAGGATCTTCTACCAGGCATTAAAGGGCTAAAATTGGTCCATATCTAAGTAGTCAGTCAGGATTTCCTTGTAGTAGCGTTTTAACTAGGGTCCTAGCACTAAAAGGCAAAAACCTCAGACAAAGGTAGTCTGGCTTTCACTGGGCATGGGGACATTTATATATAAACCCCACCCTTATTAATGTAAAGTTGGAGGAACTGTGTTTATTTTTCAGTACAAGCAAACTTCAAAGCACATTCTGAACAGCCACTGCTAATGGTCAGATGGTATGATCAATTTAAGAAACTCCAGACTTTCCAAAACCCTTTATTAATATGAAGTACAAAACAGAAATATGTTGTTATAGCTAATCAGAATTATTTTACTTAACTACTCTAGCCCAAAGGGGTGTTCTCATAAGGGTTTTAGTTCCAATAATGAAACTGTACATAGATTCAGGATAGCAATCTTGCATATGGTGTGTGTATAAGATACTTGTTCTGATCAAGAGATATTAAGCCCTTCACTCCTCGGCGGGGAAAAAAAAAAGAGTACAATCTGTGTTGATCAATATTTTATATAACAAAAGAATCCTCAAGCATATATCAAACCCAACAAAAGTTCATGGCATTTTCTGTAATGGGGAAAAAAATAGAAAATATTTTCATTTAATTAAAAATAGCAGTTTTTCAAATGAGTGTGCCAGAAAGTATAAAACTAGCACCATTCATGTACAGATCAAGGAAAGCATGTGTCTCACTTCAAAGCATAGAATGGAAACATACACCTCCCTTTGTACTCTATGACTAGGGAAGTATTTCTGTGCTCTGTGTGTGTTGAGGGAAGTTCATGTAATTTTCCGGAAAATAGAATATTTAATCGGTCTGTTTAATTAAAAAAACTTGCTACATTTACAGATCAACTGGGTGACTGTACCGGCTTTAACATACAGTAGACAGGATATAAAATTTAGTATTCATATCTTGACAGTGCTTTAACAGTCCTCTGAGAGTGAAGTGTTCTAGTTAAATAAGATGTAGGAATGTAGCAAACTTCTGTCACATATACAGTAAACCCCATCATTACATATGTGGGCACAACTTAAAAGATTCATTTTATTCACAGCTTGCCAGAATTTTCCAATGGCATGTCTAATAATGTATTGGTTTGTAATCTGCAAATCCTAGCTCCTTCTGGTGATTCTTAAAATGGGCTTGTTCAGTTATTGAAAAGAATACATGCTTTCTAAAGGGGTACTACCAGTAACTCTCTAATCTGTTAATGCAGTAATTTTGCAGGTATGCTAGTGGGGCACGTTTTTCTGTTTATTTACATACCTGTAAAGTAATTTTAAATACAAAAAGGCTTTTTAAAGAACTAAAAAAAAAACCTGTATATTTTCTACTTTTCATCCAACCAAGTGAAGTACATCATTCAATAATAAAATTGTGATTCTAAGCATAAAAATTAACCATATCCTTCACACAACCATGTTTGTCAGTACACTCAAGTCACTTTATAAATCCCACACTGAGGCCCTCAATGGGTTTTTTTTTAAATGTAACTACTCATTCAAACTGAAAACCTTCTCTCGTGTAATAACCCACTCCACATACACCACCATGCACACATGAAGAGTTGTATATGAACACCTTCCCCAAATACCATCCTTTCAAACACACACACATACAGTACTTCAAACATCTTCCAGTACACACATACAGTGACAGTAGGTCAGCTCACTGTTCTTTTTTTGTTTTGTTTTACAGTTCATCATGTCCCTCTGTGGTCTCTTGGTCTTTCAGTTTGAATTCTTCAGCTGTAATCTTGCCATCTCCATTTCGGTCCTGATTTGTGAACATATTTTTAACAATCTTTGCAGAGTCAAAGCCAGGAGCTAGTTTTCCTTTGCCAGAATCAACCTGAGCTTGAATGTATTCTGAAAACTAGGGAGAAAAAAAAAAGTTCACAATAGAATAATTAAAACAACAGACTAAATGGATATTTTAGAAAGACCAACAATTACTGCTCAATACTAATTACCAGGGTCCTAACCACTGGAGGGGTGAGAGAACATATATGTTATTACCCTTAGATCTTACAATCTAAATTGGACAGATCAGACATGAGGTAAAATCTTGCTACACTGAAGTCAACAGAAGTTTGGTCGTTCACTTCACTGAAGCCAGGATTTCACCCACAATACAGATTGAAGATGGGTTATCCAAGAAAGACCTTGCATAAGAAGAGTTTTGGGAAGGGAAATGAATGAAAAGAGAGAGGGTTTTTTTTTTGTGTGTGTACAAGTATAGGGAATTCCAAGTGTGAAAGCTGACATGGAAACAAGTGCAAAGGTAACATTTCAATAAATGTTCCTCAAGCAAAGTATTAATCCATTTATCTTTAACTACTCCTCCTACGACTTTAAAACAAAACAAAAAACCATATACCTAGAGCTATAAAAGAGCTGAGCGGGGCACTTGGGGTCAGTGGGAAAAAATTTAAATCAAAATGGGGGTCCTTGGGTTGCTAAAGTTTGAGAACCGCTGTGTTAGAATAACTATAAACTAACACAATGTTGAGCCTCAGTATAGGTAAAGACTGTCGTATTTAGCATATCGACTGGTTATCATTAAGATTAAGATTTTGTTACGGATATTTTTAGTAAAAGTCACGGACAGGTCACCGGCAACAATGAAAAATTCATGGAAGCCCGTGACCTGTCCCGGACTTTTACTAAACAAAAAGTGTGACAAAATGGGGAGCGTGAGCAGCTGCATGCAGCTGGGAGCTTCAAGGTCCCCCTCTGCTGGCAGCTCTGAGCTGCGGGGGTTCCCCCTGCCACCCGGGAGCTCCGGGGGTCCCCCCGGCTGGCTGGGAGCTGCAGGGAGCTCTCAGGGTCCGCCCTGCCGGCTGGGGTGGCCAGGAGTGGTGGGGGTTCCCCCTGCTGCCAGCGGGGAACTCCGGCTGTCCACCCTGCCAGCCGGCACTGGCTGAAGTCAGAGGTCTTTGGAAGTCACAGATTCCGTGACCTCCGTGACTAAATCACAGCCTTAGTTATTGTTAACCCTGGGATGAAATCTTGTTTAACATGTAAATGTGCATGTGTTCTAACACAATCTAATATTCCAGTGCAAGCATTTGAGCTAAGTAGGTGACCCTTGGATTTTTGTCTAAAGGTTCCAAGAAGTCTGATTCTTTAAAAGGCTTTGGCTTGCCTAAATAGTAACCATTTGTTCTTTTGACATCCATATTCTGTAACCTCACCTCCCCTGGAGGGATTAAGGGGAGGAAAAAAATAAATAAATAAATAAAACAAAGGAGTAACAGACTGATCAAGATGAAAGTCCAGTACAATAGCACAATTTTGGTTAGAAATTTGGAGGCCTCAGAACCACCTTTTCTTTGCAGACTCTGTGTAGCAGGGTGGACACCTGCTCCTGCCTGGAAGGGCCTGAGATAGCCCAGGGAGCAGGCAGCGTGAAGGCTGAGCTGATTGGGGGAAGTGGCTGCAGCTGGGGCCACGCCCCAATCAGGCCTCAGCTGGCCCTATATAAGAGGCTGTGGTCAGGGAGAGAAGGGCCTGGCTGCAGGGAGCTAGACACAGGGTACCTGTAGTGTAGCAGGGCTGGGGAAAGGCTGAGGAGCTGGGGAGCTCCAGCCTGGAAAGCCCCAGGCTGTGGCCTAGTATTAGGCCAAGGGGTACTGGGGGTTGCAGAGGGCAGCCAAGGCAGCAGGTCCAAACCCTCCTTGCCGATGATGAGTGGCCTATACTGCAGTCTGCCCCAGGGAGCGGGGGCTAGTTGGTGACTGGCAGTGGCCTAGTGCTGAGGCAAGGTGGGGATAGTGGGTGGGGGTTCCCCAGGGAGGGGAGACCCAGATCTGTTGGGTACTGCCAGGGGGCAGCATTCCAGTAATAGGGGCACCGGGTCCTGGGAGGGACATGAATGCCAGCAGAGGACAAGGTGGATCACCGGCCTGCAGAGGGCGCTCCAGAGGCTGGTGAGCTAATTCCCTGGATGACCAGTAGGAGGCGCTGCAGGGGTGAGTCCGGACCCTTTACACTCTGGTAGAAAGTTGGCTGGCGATCAGGGCCTACAACTCTGAGACCCTCCTAACCTTTAAGTAAAATTTTGCGGTTGCCAGGGGTAGCTTTGACAACCAGGAGCGCCGCTAGCTTCTCTGTCAGATTTGTGTCCATTTATTCTTTTGCGTAGAGACTGTCCTGTTTGGCCAATGTACATGGCAGAGGGGCATTGCCATCTCTCGTGTCTGGGAGGGAACCTGTTCCTCCCTGTCTGGCCACAGACTTTAACACACAATGTTTATCCATATTTCCTCCTGTAGTGTTTAATATCATTGTAAAATATATGTATTATCACCAGTGTGCCATTAGCTTTCAGAAAAGACCAAACTCCATACACTTTTATAATACTGTATATTGTATACAAGCAGTTGATTTGATTGATTATCACTTGAGGTTCAGCTGCCCTGTCTTTATAACCCAATAAACCTTTAAAATGGATTCTTTTGAGGAGTAATCCTCAAAGTAGGGTTTATTCAAGCTGTGAGAAAGGAGACATGGAGTCTGGTGATGAAGGAAACTCCATGTTTTCTTCTCCCCCTCCCCCCCCCCCACTTGTTAGCTTAATAGCTATGTTTACCTAATATGTAAAATTGGACCTTCACTGTCTTTTCTTGAAAATGGGGCTGCTCAGATAATCAAATATATATTCGTTTGTCTAAGGCAGACCAGGCTACCAATTTCCCCTGACATGCCTCATTTAAACACACTTTAGTCCTAATTCCAGCATATATCCGTAACTCTTAACACACACATTATGCAATAATATTAATGCTCAGTGAGTTGTTAGTTTTCAAATGATACCTCCCAAGGCATATATTGTAGAAGGATTATTACAATCACATGTAGGGTGTGAATACAGGGTTACTTAGGATCACAGTCTTACAACAGAGAGCAAAGAGAATGGAACTATCACACTGCTGAAAGCTTTTTAAAGAGAGACAATAACATCAAATCTACTCAGCTTCAAATAATGAATTAAAAATAGTTCAGGGTCTACACCTGCATTTGAGCCCTCTAGACTTTTTTTAAGCAAATTTTCCTTTAATAAACAAAAAATGTCTCTTACGTGTTACATCTAAATACTGACACAAACAGAGGCAGGGAAACTGTGCACAAAGTGCTGTCCAATGCAGAAATTATACAGACTGACTAGATTATTTTTTCCCTCTAATCTCAGTTACAATAATCTCAGGTGCTATTTGTAACAACAGCAGCCACAAAACTTAAGATAGAAGTGTGATTTTTGACATTTACAGACATTTTGATCCAACACCCTTTCTCACATCTTCCCCCGCCCCTTTATAGATCAAGCTCTGGTACCAACAATCACATCCAAGTTTCTCCCTCCCCATTCAGTTCTGAAACACAATGTACATTACATCTATTCTGTAGACAAGAGCCTTTCAGCCCTGTAAGAATAGGGCAGCTACAGGAGATAAGAGGAAAATTAATGAGGAGAGAGAGATAGGAAGAAGGAGGAAAAGAAGTTTAGTCTTTTAACCACTGGTCTTTCTGCCTTTTGACAGCCCATATTGTTCTTGGTAGGGCTTTTTGAAAATTTAAAATGGAAATTTAATTTAAAATGGCAGCTTCCTGTTAACTTGGTAATAACCATAGCCTGGGCTGGATAAACTCCAAAACTTAAAGACAAAACCTGACTTCTCCATGAGCTTCATGGTGATGGAGCTAAGAACAAAAAAAAAAACTCTGCAAGTGGTTTTACCCCTCAACTTACCTCCTCCAGAAAAACTTCTCCATTATTATCCTTGTCAATTTCTTCAAAGAGATTTGGAGAGACATCATCATGCCAGACAAACATGTAGCCATCAGGTAAGCCAGACACTAGTTCCAGCAGTTCAATGTCAAAAACTAATACTGCACTACCAGGAACTTCTCCTTCTGTCACAACAAATAGCAGTGTTACGTATTAACCTTCAGTTATATGGCAAAAGGACAATTTAGGGTTTTTTCACAATAAAAAATGTCTATTACTTAAAGTGCAACTACAAGTACTTCACGAGGGGTCCGATCCAAGCCCAATGAAATCAATGGGAGTCTTTTCATTGACTTCAGTGGGCACTGGATCAGGCCATATATAAACAGCAAACTGGGGCTAGACCATACAATATTTGATTATATGAGACGCATGCAGCACTAGATATTTGCTATAAGTGACATATATAACGTGAGTTTTTAATTTTAAAGGCCCTAACTCAGGAAAGGCACATAACCATGTTTAATTTAAGCACTTGAATGGAATTTAAGCACTTGCTTAGGTGCTCTTCCTGAATATAAATGCTTTCCTGAATTGGTGGCCTAGCAAGTTTCAATCCAGTTATTTTGATACACTTAATATAAAAGTTAACCTTTCCTTAATAACGGTGTCCCACATTTTTATTAATAAAAATGGAAAAGGTATATGGCAATATATGGCAACTCCATATATCCTCTAGCTACAGATACAAGATTGTCTTTGTCTGATATATTTCCTCCACTGGGACTCTTCATTGAATATGCATGATATTGTTTTTTTAAAAAAGGAAACCAATCAAAAAGGAACTTCTGATCCAAAATGAATAAAGGAGTTGCACCAGATATATAAGACAATACTAATATATTCAGAATCATGCTAGCATTTACTCCAGACCATATGTCCAATGTAATCTTAATAGTGTCAAAATACCAATGACACATAATTTAGTAGAATTTTTAAATACATTATGGTGTTTTTAATTAATAATTTTATATAATTTTAATAAATTTATAAATTGTCTTTGATTCATATACAAATCAAAGAGGTGTTCAATTAATCTCTCATATTTATTCTATATTAAACTCTGTGATGCCGGACGCTGAATCTTTATACAACAGAAGTTGTCTATGTTCTTTAGGAATCCAAATCAACAAAGTCAGAGTGAGCTGTGGTGAGCTTGATATCATTAGGACACCATTCCCCAAGTTCTTTTAATTGCACAGGCCAGTAATAACTCCATGTACTAGGAACTGATAGTCCTCTGAAATTTCAATGTTTTATAATGAATTCTTGGAGCCCTATAATTCCAAATTAAAGACTCAATCCCACAACGTTCCTCCTGCACATAAACTCTAGCCCATGCATAGCTACAACAACTCCAATGAGACTGTTCAGACGGACAAGTGGAAGTGCAGGCCCAAGTACAAAATTATCAAACAATCCATCATAATGCCTAATTTTTAGCACTTAGAAAAATGATTGGGATTCACCAAGCCTGGGTTCAGCACCCACAATGAATGGGAAGAGACAGGCACCTAAGAATGGGATTCACATGCAGGGGTTTGGAGCAGAGCCCGCAGCTGGAGCGTGGAGCAACTCCGGAGCAGTGGAGTTGCAGGTTTTTGCCTGGAGCTGGAGCGGAGCCAGAGTACAGCTCCAAAGCCCTGTTCACAAGAGGCAGCACGCTGAGTGAGGAATTGCCTGAGCTAACCAATGGGAGATGCAAAGGGAAGGTGTGTGCCCCAAGCCCTGCCCTTCACAGGGAGTTAGGAGTCTATAAGTCTGGACTGCAGGAAGGCACCTAAATCTGGTTGGGATTCACAGTTGTGAAACCTCTCCTGGAATCAGGTGCCTAAGGGGTTTCTTGCAAGGAACAATGGAGGATGAGGAGTTCCCTCATAACTTTTGGCCCTGTGGTTAGGGTACTCACCTGGGAGTTCCTCACTCAAGTGAATCTAGCCCTACTGCTGACAGCATTCCATTATGACACATGGAGGCACTGGCACTCAGTGGTGTCCCATGGTAATCAGCACACTGGCCAGAATGTCATATTTTCAGAGCCATATTATTAAAGGTGGAAAGTTTATTTCAACCAAACACTTTTTTGTTAAATTACTGGCATGGAAAAGGTCCAAAGAGAGCACTGTAACACAGTGGAATAATTTTAAAAATGTTAAAAAAAAAAAAAAAAAGTTTAAAAATGGTATTTTTCCTTACCTTTTCAAACCCCTCCTACCCCAGAAATAATGAAAAACAAGACTAGTAACACACATACTTCAGTCACTCAGGTAATAAGTTACACCACCAGTTGTCTATTAGGTTCCATTTACTTACCAACACCAGCTTCTCCATAACCAAGATGGGGCGGAATAATAACTGTTCGTCTCTCTCCAACGCACATATCTCTAAGACCCATGTCCATCCCCAAAACAACCTGTCCAGATCCCAGAACTATATTATACGTTTTACCAAGACTAATCCTGAAAAATAAAAGAGAATTTTTACTACTTCCATGTTACCACCCAAACTGTACAGTTTCTATATCAAAGTCCCTTTGTGGCCAAAAATCAAGTTTACCTCTAATGCTATAGGCTTCTAAATAGCCAAGTGGTGTAATTGCTGAGGTAACAGATTGTATGCGATAGGAGCTTCAGACATCATGGTCACTTGAATTAAACCTGATTAAGGATTTTAATCCTCCCAATCAAAACTCTGAAATACTTTGTCATTCAAAAAAGGGCTTCTTGCCTTGCAAATATCTTTGGGGAAAAAACACTTTGTAAGCCACAAGCCTGATTCTGCAAAGTCTTAAGCACATGAGTAAGTTTACTCACACTAGGAATCCTCTTGGCTAAATAAACCCAGCTGGGATTTTCAGAAGAGTTTAAGGGAATCAGGCATCGAACTGCCATTGAAATTCAATGGGATTTGGTCACCTACCTTCCTTCGGCTCCATTAAAAATCCCAGTTTGTGTGTCTAGTATATTAGGTAACTAATTTGAACCCCAAGGCAATTGAGGTCTTTATTGTTTCTAAGAATCTTGCTAATATTTTAGTCCTATCATATTATAAATTATAACTTGCTACTGGGGTCTTATTTCTAAGATGTATTTCTATGAAGTGATAAATAAATTATATATACTTTGTTTGCAATGTTGTAGCTGTGCTGGTCATAGGATATTAGAAAGACATGGTGAGTGAGGTAATATCTTTTATTGTACCAACTTCTGTTGGTGAGAGAGTTTCTGAATATTTCAGTCACTCAGGAGGTAATACCGCCGGTTGTTTGTTAGGTTTCATTTACTTACCAATGCCAGTTTCTCCACAACGAAGAAGGGGCAGAATAATAGCTGTTCGTCTCTCTCCAATGCACATCTCTGAGATCCATATCCATCCCCAATACATTCAATAAAAGATATTACCTCACCCATCTTGTCTCTCTTAAATATACATTATAATTCTAAAAGGCAAGTTTGCAATCTTGGGACTTTTTACTGGCACCTGTCCTTGCAGCATCTGAGTGCCCCTTTTTCTGTCAGTCTCTCTTTCCTTTTGTCATTTTTTTGCTGAATTGTGTGACCCTGAGTACAGAGCCTCTATAAGGAAAGGATGGATGGTCCTGTGGTTAGGGCACTACCCTAGCACTAAGAAGACCTGTGTGCAACAGATGACAGTGCCCTGCGATAGCCTTATTGGCCTGGCTTGACATGTGTAACTGGAAGTGGGTGAGGTATCGCTTCTTGGGAAACACATTTACCTCCCTAATCCTATCAGCTGGTGGGAAACAATGTCTGTACTAGCTAAGATAAGGGGAGAACAATTGAGGAACCATTTACAATGGACAAGATAAATCCGGAATGCAAAGAGAAAGTTGTATATGGACATTGCATGGAAGAGCATGCAGTACGGGAAATGGTTCCTACAAAGCAACCAGACAATCCCAAAACATGCAATGCAGCATATAGTAAATGCAATGCACTGTGTACATGTATACAAAGGAAGAGGTTTTACTGTGTAAGTCCGGATGTGTGGTATGTTCTATATCCACTGTGCTTGAGTCTGATCAACTGAGCATAGCTTTGCTGTATGCCAAATAAAGGAATCTGAGTGACAAAACTGAGTTCTTGGGGACCTGAGTGAAGGGGTTCTTGGGGGGGGGGGGGGGGGGGAACCCAAACAATCCTGGGCAAACATTATGGAATTAAGTTAAACCTTACTGAATTACGTTTACTATCTTTGGGGTCCATTGTATTGAAAATGCAAATGTTTGTGTGCTATTGTGGAGTTGTATGGAACACCTCTTTTGGAGAAATGAGGATTTAAAGCAATCTCTGGGAGACAAGGTGAACTTCAAAAGACTGTGCTGAACAATACAGCAGAGAAAATTGATCTTTTGGGACAGCATGTATAAGAGTGGAATTCCTAGGAAGTACTGGGGGGAGAATATTCCAAACCCCCAACCTTCTGACTGAGCCCATACAGCTTCACCCTGAGGAGGGGACCTTTGCTGTGCTGATCACCTGTTACTGGAGGACAGTTCAAAGACCCAATCTGGCTTCTCAAGAAGCCAAAGAAAGGACTTTTGTTTAAACAGCCTGGTTTTAAACACATTCGGGCCTTCGTTCTGATCCAGCAAATGGACAGGACCTCTAGTCCATGGGTGGTCCCAATCTTTAGGGTCGGGCTCAAAGATTAGCATGCATGTAGGTTCTTTTATGGTGTTTAATATGTTCTCTGTAATACTATTGCCCTAAGAATAAAGAAGTTTGTATAGAAAGAGCTGTGTGGTAGCTTAACAGTAGGCAATTACACTGTTATCAGTCTCTGAAGAGGAAGCAAGCAGGTCTGCTTAGGCAGACTGTCTTTTGCTGGGAATAACATAATGAAAGCAGGGAACTAACTGTTCAGCCTGGAAATACCTGGGTCAAGGAGAGAGACATCGGTCTCCACCCAAGAGAGGCAATGGCTGGAGTGCCAGAAGCCTGCAAGTGGGTGCTCTTGCAGAACCACTGAGGGGAAATACAGAAGCAGTTGCCCTGAACTGTGACATAGGGTTCAAGTCCTTGCTTCACCACAGACTTCTTGTGTGACCTTGGGCAAGTCACTTAGCCACTCTATGCCTCAGTCTTCCATCTCTAAAATGGGAATAATAGCACTTCCCTACTTCAGAGATGTTGTGGGGATAAATGCATTAAAGATGTGGGGTGGTGAGATACTATGGTAATGGTGGCCATATAAATATCCAGAGAGATTCAGCTGCCCAAGTTATAATGAAAACTATGGACTATTTCTGGTGTTTATGTTTTTCTCTTTAAAATAAATAAATAAAAGTAGTCCTTCCCTACCTCACCTTCCAAATAAAATACAAATAAGGTAAATTTAACAGTACTAGTAGTATTCAAAAAGATGAGGGGTGCACAGACCCAAAAACAGAACAAGAGAATTTATTCAGTCCTAGCAAACGCTATCTAAATTTACTTCAGCTCAATCCAAAATCTGGTTCATCTAAAATAATCTATTTTATGTCACAACAAGGAAACTAAACCAGTCAAGAAGGATCAGCACAGCAAAGCGATTCAGCTGACCTTTGAACGAAGGAGACAAGGGTTGCCAGCAGCTTTTGCCTCCATTCACACTCCTAATGTGTACAGTAGGCAGCAAGTAAACATTGTCAGAACCCCTTTGTCCCCCAACCTGACCCACCATAAACATGATCATGATCCAACCATCCAACAGTTTCCCCATGAAGATCTCAGCTGCAACAGAACCTAATGAAACACCCTAGTTCATGTGTATCTTGTTCATCACCGTGGTGACAATTTCTATGTTCCTCTCTCACATCCCTATTTCTGCTGTCCCCAACTCTTTCCCTTTGGTTGCTCTCTCTCCCCATTTTTTTCCTATATGAAAAGATTTTATAGACATTGTCAGACAGGAAAAATAAATTGGTCCCATGTTAACATGAATATTTTAACATCACTGTCAACCTTTTTCCTTTCTGAATATCCTAATTGCTTTCTATGATATTCATTTTGACTCTCGCTTTCATAGTTACATAGAATATTTCATATGCCAAGTGACGTACTTACGTTGAGTCTAACAACGTGCCATCCAGGAGTGAGGCGTTGTAGTGGTACTTCAAGTAATCTCCTTTCTTACTCAATACTGTGCAATTGGAAGGTTTGTAATGAGTAGTAATGTTGACAGAGTCCAAAGGGTTATGGAAGTCAATCACATGGATGTCAAAAACCAGTACTGCAGATCCTGGAATCTTTCCTAAATAGTAAGCAATCATATAAGGAGAAACAAACAGCATCTACACAGGTACATACTGGCTTCATACATCACACAGTGAGAATATATAAAATGTTGAGTCTTCTACTGAGTGATTTTGTTCTTTGTTTCAGTTTACATTTCTCAGGATTAAAGCACTGAGTCACCTCTGCACACAACAACATAGATACAAGAAGCTTCCAATGAAAGACACTTAAAATGCAGAGGACACCAATAAAAAAGTACTATATTAGCAGTCAGTTCAAAAATTAAAGGAAAACATTTCCATCATTCAAGGTTTTAAAACTATGTACTCTACTTTGAATTTTTAATAGCACAATGAAGCTGGAAGTTTACATTTCCTGTGACCAACTTAGTCACTGGATTGGTACCTCACACACCAAATCACTATTAAAGCGGCAAAATTGTAACAGAACATCAACACTTCCACCAGGCACTGGCACTGAATAGCAGCAGAAAAGGGGTTAAACTGCTTGAAAAACCTTGACAAGTATGTGCTTTTTCTCACACCCCAAAGTATTATGTGATTATGTTACCAACAGCGATAGATGCATCCACAACCACCAACGGGTTTCTTTGCTATAAGTCTAATTCCCAATTAGCACAGTGGAATGTTGTCACAAAAATGAAACATTTCCTAAAATGTTATTAATGGAAAATAATGGTTTATGTACTGGGAAAAGCTTTTTAAAACACAAGCACACAACTGCGATTGACTAGAGAAATTGACATAGTTACACTCTAGCAATACCCTTCCTAGAAGCAAGTGAGTTTTCACAAAGGAATTTTAATTGTATGTTATACATACACACATCCTTTGTTGTTACATGCATCCACTGTTTACAGCGGCGGCTTAGGTGTCCACAAAACTTGTGGCTGTGGAAGGAACGAGGAAGAAAACTTAACATAGAGAAGTCCTTTAGCATACACAATTTATTAAGATCTACACAAAAGAGGCTCTCACTGCAGAGTTCATAAACTCGCAGACTCCTGGCCCCAGTAACCCGTTTGTCTGAACCATAGATTATCCAAATAATTTTCATGTCCCCACCTACAGTCAGACAACACTGAGAGTGTATAATCATATCTAGCTAACTAAAATCGTTTTGAAGACTCTGGGCCTAATTCTGCCACTTTTATGTCCTTTGAGTACTATATTAATATACACACCTTTTGAATACCAAAAGAGAAGGATAAACACTTCAGAGATTAGCTAGTTTTAATTGCTCTGAAGAACAAAGGAAGCAATGCTTCCTATGAAAAACTGTACTGAAATAAAAACTGAGCTCACCTCTTCCTTCTTCTCCATATCCAAGATGAGGTGGAATTATTATTCTTCTCTTTTCCCCAATGCATACCCCAAGCAAACCTTCATCCATCCCTGCGATCACATAACCTTTCCCAATGTAGGTGTCATATGTATGGTTCCGGGAATAGCTATAGAAAATATTTTGCTTTAGTGACACTATTATCAGTATCAGCAGTTTTGTAACTTACCTAATACTATAGCAAACTTATACACATGTATGTTTCCTTTTCCCACTTTGTGATTGTAGTTTTTTAAACTGTTGTGTAACTTTAGCATTCTTTTTAAACCAGTTAAATCCAGATACATGACTGTATTCTATCGCTGTAGCGGCACAAAGCAGCCATTGTGTAGCAGTGAATCTGGCCCATAATGTTTAGCCAGTCACAGGTGCATGTTTTGCTTATTTATGATGGTTAAACCGATACTGAGGAACCCTGGCTGTGGAACAACTGTTTTGCAACAACATCTCTGCAGGATACAAAAAGTGAATATTATTAAAAGTCAAGAATTACCTCCCTAGATTTCTCTCCTTATGTATATAAAACTAAATGAAATTAAATTTTAATAAAAGTAACAGTTTTCTCCCCCTCAGTTCAAGCACTGCTTTAATCAGTTTTTATAAATAAGGTACTGGATTCATTTTCACCAGACATCCCTCATATGGTCTCATTTTGTAGCAAAAGCAATGAATAATTACTGTTAGAATAAATTGATTTCTGGGTGACTGCCCCTGAATCATCTACTAGAGGAATGGAGAGATGAATAAGCTCCAACAAGGAAATGCAGGTAATATCCCTCTCTCCTAAACTATTGGCCAAGCATCAAAAGGCCAATCCCAAGCATTTGGACCAACATCTGTTACTAAAGAGAACAAATCTACCACAAAAGATGCTATTGCGTGCTGCACCTCTTGGAGGCCAAGTACACGCACAGCCCAAGGGAGGAAGCGCAGAACTGATGTTAAGCCACCATAATGGCCCTGGGATTCTGAACGCCAGTGCAGCCCATGGTATAATTTAGGCAAGCCTAGCTGGGTTGCCTGTGAGTAGCCCTACAACTTAGAATTGCCCAGAATGGATGTAGAGATCATTACTATAGCCCCACTCCTAACACACGTCTCCTACCCCCAGCCTCACTCCTGACACATTTCCTATGCCAGTGGGAAAAGTCTCCTGAGCTGGCTCCTTTTGGATGACTAATTACACATGTTAGATATTGTCCTAACTTGTAACTTCTGCAGGAGGTTAGAGGAGTGGCATTGTAAGAATGCATGCCATTTTAATGAATAAATTTTATAACTAACATTTGTCAGCTCTTTAACATGATGTACAATTATTCAGATGCACGGGGTTACACAACATCTCTCACTATTTATTCACAATGACCAAGATATAAATGCAAAGGAAATTTTCAAAAACTGAGTTATTACAGAAAAGATGAGATCAGTTTACATTTTTATAAGAGGAGAAAAATGTTGACAGGTAACACAGTTCCTATGCTATGCTTGAACTCTATAGTGTACTCCAGTGGGGAATATGCAACTCAGGGCTTTGGCATTCTATTTGCACGTCACTAACTATGACTGAATCTCTGTATCTCAGTTCACCTATTGTAAAGTGGATATCCTATAATTCTATTAATGTAGATAAATTAATATTATGTTTGGAAAGCACTTTAAGATCAGATTACAGAAGCCATAGAAGCATAAAGTAGTATTGCTCTATTTATTCTACAATGGTTTCATTGCAATTTTTAGCTGTTTGTGCCAGGTTTAAAATAGAAAACTTAAGAACATAAGAACGGCCATACTGGGTCAGAGCAAAGGTCCATCTAGCCCAGTATCCTGTCTTCCAACAGTGGCCAATACCAGGTGCCCAGAGGGAATGAAAAGAAAATCATCAAATGATCCATGCCCCGTCACCCATTCCCAGCTGGGAAACAGAGGCTAGGGACACCATCCCCGTCCATCCTGGTTAATAGCCATTGATGGACCTATCCTCCAAGAACTTATCTAGTTCTTTTTGGAACCCTGTTATACTCTTGGTCTTCACAACATCCTCTGGCAAGGAGTTCCACAGGTTGACTGTGCGTTGTATGAAAAAATACTTCCTTGTGTTTGTTTTAAAACCTGCTGCCTATTAATTTCATTTGGTGACCCCTAGTTCTTATGTCATGAGAAGGAGTAAACAACACTTCTTTATTTACTTTCTCCACACCAGTCATGATTTTATAGACCTCTATCATATCCCCCCACAGTCATCTCTTCTCCAAGCTGAAAAGTCCCAGTCTTATTCATCTCTCCTCATATGGCAGCTGTTCATTTTTGTTACCCTTTTCTGAACTTTTTCCAATTCCAATGCATCTTTTTTGAGATGGGGTGACCACATCTGCACACAGTATTCAAGATGTGCATGTATCATGGATTTATATAGAGGCAATATGATATTTTCTGTCTTATTATCTAGCCCTTTCCTTAATGATTCCCAACATTCTGTTTGCTTTTTTGACTGCTGCTGCACATTGAGTGGATGTTTTCAGAGAACTATCCACAATGACTCCAAGATCTCTCTCTTGAGTGGTAACAGCTAATTTAGACCCCCATCATTTTATATGTATAGTTGGGATTATGTTTTCCAATGTTCATTACTTTGCATTTATCAACATTGAATTCCATCTGCCATCTTTAATCTTCTTGATAAGAACTTAACCTTGCACACATTTTTCACCATATGGCTTTATAAACTGAAGTGTTCCTGGACACACAGATTAATCTTATTAATTATGAACTGACCCATACTTATGTCCTTTTTTTCTTTATCAGAGAGAGATTTGTTATTGATTTTAGTATTTTTTAAGGACCCGATTCTGCAAGGTGCAGAGTTTTCAAGTAGGGAAGTAGGATGCTCTTGTGGTTAAGGCACAAGAGTAGGACTAAGAGATGTGGGTTCAATTCCTGGCTCTGCCAAAGACTTCTCATGTAATCTTGAGCAAGTCACTTAATCTCTGTACCTCAGTTCTCCAACTGTAAAATGGGGATAATATTTCTTTTCTTCCACCCTTTGTCAGTCTTGTCTGTTTAGAGTGTAAGCTCTTTGAGGCAAGGGTTGTCTTCTACTGTGTGTATACGGTGCACCTAGTCAAGGGGGCCCTAGCCTCAGGTGGTGTCTTAAGCAATACTGCAATACAAAGCATGAACAATGACTCTTAATCCCACTGACACACTCAAAGTTTTGAATTACTTCTGATAAGGAGATACATCCTCCCTGCTCCCACTCCCAACTACCGCCTGAAACTCACAAGTCCCACACGCTTTACAAATGGATAGGAAATGGGAAGAATTCTAGAGCATTCCTACACACTACGACTGCTTATGACAGTGTTATAAGAAGCCTCATATATATATATATATATATATATATATATATACACACACACACACACACACACACGTATACTGTACACATATAGACTGGAATTAACAATAGTTAGGTCTTGTATGCTGCTTTTCATCATCAGAGCTGAAAGTGCTTTACAAAGGAGACCAGTATTATCCTCATTTTACAAATGGGGAAAACTGAGACACAGAGAAGGGAAGTGATTTGCCCAAGGTCACCCAGCAGGCCAGAGCCAGGAATAGAACCCAGGTCTCCTGAGTCCCGTCCAGCACTCTATCCATATAAATGTCTAGTAGTTTGGTTACCTGGAATCAAATAATGTGCCATCCAGCAGCGTGCCATTATAGTGATATCTGAGAAAGTCTCCTGTCTGGCTTTTTCGCTCACAGGATTCAGGCACTTGTTGGTTCTCAATAGTGATGCCATCTTTTGGGTTATGAAGATCTAGCAGAGCCACATCAAAAACCAGAGAAGCCTGACCAGGAATCTCTTTACCTACATGTGAGATGGGGAAGAAGCAATTAAGTCAGAGCAATAGTTCTAGAAAGAATTCAACTTTTTGCTTTTCATGATGTTATTTATATTTTGTTTTCACATCCCAGATAGCAGATTTGGCTATTAGGACAATGAATAAAAAAAAAAAGGGGGGGGGGGGTACTGCAGAATTATGGCCCCCCAATCACATAGCCAAATCTGCTTTCAGTCAGTCATCCAATGCGGGGTTGTCCTCTAATTCTTTGAATTCCATTATTTTATTTATTCTAGGTATATTTATACTGAACCCATTGTGATAACACCCGGTCATCCAAAATACTGGTCTCTCCAATTAAAGACGACAGAAGTCTATGTACAGTGTGTGCATCTGACCAGGGTTTCTGAATTAGTGAGCATTTCCGTCATACTTTTGAGGGTGTATATATATAATAACAAATGGGATAGAGAAGGTATACTGGAACTTCTATTCCCCGTGTCCCATAAGACAAGGAGAAGAGTTCACACGATGAAATTAAAAGCGGCAAATTCAACATTGATCAAAGGAAATACTTATTCACACAATGTATAATTAGACTGGAACTCACTATCACAGGAAGTCGTTGAAGTCAATCAAGATTCAAAAAAAGATTGAATATTTATATGGATAATAAGAATATCCAGAGTTATCATAATTCATGATGATAAAAATCAAGGAAGGGATATTAAACCTCATTGTTCAGCACTAGAGCCAAATTTCTAACTATTCAGGATGAGGATGAGACCTAATGTGGGGGGACAGGTGCCCCATATCTGCCTACTATAGCATTCTTGCCTCTTCCTTTGAAGTATCTGGTACTGGTCACTGCCAGAGACAGGATACTGTCTAAGAAAGACCCTGGGTCTGATCCAGGATGGCAATTCCAGATCTGATCTGGGATATATTGTGACGTAACACAGTCGACTCTTTGCCATCAATGATGGGCATGGGCATGGATTCACAAACACTGGCTCAGATACGTGTGAGTGGAGTCCAGGAAACAGCCTACTGATGGACTGTTATTAGTGAGACTAGCAACAAGAAATAAACAGAAACTGGGAACTCTAAGATGACTTTCCACTTATTAAGAGAAGTCAAATTGCTGGGGCAGTTGTCTAGAAGAAATAAGGAAGCACCTGACTTCCAGTTTAAAAAGCATATGGAGTTTATTCTTCATAGAAAAAATTACCTGCAAAGAAATTAAACTTCAGCATGTGTTATTACAATTAAGTCAATGCTAAGCACTCATCTGTCAGTAAGCCAGCCTACTATTTATGAAAGAAAAATACCTGCACTTTGCTGATAAGCCACATCCTGAATTACTTTTAGAAAAGTATTTTCCATCAATACATAATCTGAAATAATGGTACTTTCACAATGCTAAATACGTAATGCAAAGGTTTGTGTTAGAAAATGGAGAGTTTGGGGAGGGAAGAGGGGCACTTTTACCATCTCCTTCTTCTCCATATGCTAGGTAAGGAGGTATTGTGATAATGCGCTTTTCTCCTACACACATTCCTAGGAGTCCCTTGTCCATACCAGGAATCAGCCATCCAATTCCCACATACGTGTCGTAAGTTTTCATCCGATTGTGGCTAAAAATTAAAACAAAGAATTAAAGAAGAAAAAGCTAATATCACAGAGCCAATCAAAAAATAAAGAAAATTAATAACCAAAAGCCACACACACAAGCATCACAATGAGCTGCTAGAGCTCACTTCACACTTGGCACAAGGAATACAATTTACAACCTTCTGTTCCAAAAACACAGGCATCTACAACTTGAGCTAATGGAGACATTCTGGGTAACATTTTCCAAAGTGCCTAAATGATTTAGAAGCTTAAGTTCTTTTTCAGGAGTGATTTAGAAGGTTAATCTCATAGATTTAGGAGCCTAAGTGCCTCATTGAGTTTTCTATGTAGGATTTAGGCACCTGTGAATATTTTACCCTCTGTTATATTTCAGCATTAGTAGTACAAGCCTTTAGAAGGGAAGAATCACACACACACACACACACACACACACACTTGAGCAAGTCTGACATTTGATCCCATAGAGGATGCTGGTACATATACATACAAGCAAGTGCACTAGAAAACACTAAAAATAGAATGGTGGAAGCCTTAAATTTACTAATCAAACAATTTATGAATAGCCTAGATTTTGTAAGACATTGGCAGCACAAAATTTCTCTTTCATTTTTCCGTGAAACAGGTTTGGCTCTTGAAAATGTGGGATTAATTGCGCTGGCCAGAGCCTGCCTGGCAGTCATTGCAAAAGCTTCACACAAAGTTCTGCCAATATTCCAGGCAATCCTCTGTTGGAAAGCAACACACATTGGAAGACTTCCCAAAAGGGTAGTTAAAAACCAGAAGACCTTGACTAGGCTAACCCCATTTTTAAAGTTCCAAATTTCTAACCTAAAAGAAGACAAAAAAGTTACTGACAAAATATTACTAACTTTAAAACATATCCCTTCCAATCCCTACCCACAACAACATCCATACCTTCCATGGTCTCCGATTCTCACTAAGCATGATGTCCCAACGTGAACTCTGATTATTAATAAAATAATACCCACCATGAAACCCCAGTGAAATACACAGGCTGCCTGCCTACTGAGGCATTTTAGAAATGGAGATACTTTATTTTCTTTAACGACCCTATACAGTTTTGTACATAAAACTAACACCACATATAAATATCAATATTAAAATTGTTACAAAACCTATTCATTAATTTTATTATAGAATACTGTCGGCATGGAAAGTGAAAGGGAGAGAAGCTGCCTAATGTCCATGGAGTAATAAGATATCACTTTTACTGATTTGAGCCAGTACTACAGTCATACAATCCTCTAGACGGATGTGTATAACTCTTATGAAGCCAAGCTACTTCAATAGTCTTGCAAGCTCCTTTCTCTTTGTTTCACAGTGTAGTAATTAACATTAGTTATAATATCCACTTGGAAAAAAGAGGAAAAAGCCTCCTTTAAGTAGCCCAGAACAGATATATTTAAAAAAATCCACAGAAAAGTATTAAAACCTTACCTTGAGTCAAACAGAGTCCCATCCAAGAAAGTTCCATTGTAATGGTATCTTACAAAGTCAGACACCTGGATTGTCCGAGTACATTTTTCAGGCTTCAAATAAGTTTGAATTTGAACCTCATCTTCAGAATTCCAAAGATCTATCAGAAGTACATCAAAATGAAGCACTGCATTTGGGGGGATTACACCAGCTGCAAACAAAACAAAAAACAAAAAAAGTTAAAATCATTATCATGCTACCCACCTTTTCACAGGGTGCCAAACTAATATAAAATCATCTAACTTTACTTGAGCCACTGAGAGCATCACACGGCTGCCACCCACAAAGAAGTTTTCTAAAGAAGATAACCAACAATAGCTTTATACTTATTTACAATCTTATACCTTTATACTTTATAACTTCATATATTTACTAAATGGCTGTAATTATACCTCTAGGATAACACAGGAGGGAACAAAATTAAATCTTTGGTAAAGACCCAGTCCAGAATTTTGGATTCTCAATCCCCTATGAACTCTGCCTTTGCTACAGATGAGGGCACTTAACACATTATAAGATCAAGCTCCAAATAACTGTTTGATACTCCTAGACTATTCTCCTCCATTTGGGACTTGAAAATTTTACACATGAGCAGTGAGTAAGAAGCTTTCCTTGAGGAAACTGGAGGCTTACTTATTAAATTCTACCGAATGTTATAAGGACACTGTCAACTTGAAAGCTAGTCAGTTTAAAAAAAAAAAATTAAAAAAGTTAAGTCACTTCAGGTAGTAACCCTGAGTCTTCAGCCAATTTTTGTGATTTTTCAACATTTTCGTTTTTCCATTTAAATCATAGGACTGGAAGGGACCTCAATAGGTCATCTAGTTCAGTCCCCTGCACTCATGGCAGGACTAAATATTATCTAGACCATCCCTGACCAGGGGCGGCTCTATGTTTTTTGCCACCCCAAGCACGGCAGTCAGGCGGCCTTTGGCGGGGGGGGACGCGGATTCAGTGGCGTTTCTGCGGGTGATCTGCCGGTCCCGCGCCTTCGGCGTACCCGCCACAGAATTGCCGCCGAAGCCGCGGGACTGGTGGACCTCCTGCAGGCATGCCGCTGAAGGCTGCCTGACTGCCGCCCCCCACGGCTTGCCTCCCCAGCACGCGCTTGCTGCGCTGGTGCCTGGAGCCATCCCTGTCCCTGACAGGTGTTCGCGTAATGTTCTCCTCTCTCCTGTTTTTGTGTGAAAAACCACACAGGGAGAAACTGACTATATATGAAATGTTGTCAAATATGCTAGTCAAGCAATCCAAAAAAAAAATAGAGAACAATATTTTGGCCCTGATCCTGCAAGTACTTATGCATCTGAGTGCTCCCACTGAAGCTAAAGGGAATGTTTACATGCTTAAAAGTTAAGCGCACGCTTAACTGATTGCAGGATCAAAGCCTTTCTCTTTAATTTTTTCCAGTTATGGTAAACAAAGATGTTACTTGTAAAAATAGTACGTAAAAACAAAATTCATTTAAAAGTTTAATTTTTAAGCTGAATCGTTATTTTTAGAATAATTCTAGCCTTTATGGTCATGGATACAACTTTCCAAACAAATATGACCCAGGAATAAGGTGATACAGTGTTGTCTTTGTATCTAGCAAAGTCTGCAGCATGAAGTTGCCTTATTACCATAGCATTGGCCCTGGACTTCACTGGTGAAGCCCCTGTATTTTAATTCTTTAACACTGAATGTCACGTATCTGAAAATTGCCCTCTGACCCACCCAAAAAACATCAAATCAGGTGCAGTTTTTACAATTCTTTTTTGTAACTTCAGATTTTATCAACTTAATTAAATCTCCTACATCCTATGCAACCAAAATATTTATAGCCATGCTGCTGTACTTACAAACTCCTTCACTCCCATAGGCAAGCTTGGGTGGAATTTTCACAAAACGTCTCTCGTTCACACACATTCCAACCAGAGCTTTGTCCATCCCTGCAATAAGCTGGCCTTTTCCCACAAACGCATTGAATGTGGAACCCCTGTCATAGCTAACGAGAGGGACGGAGAGAAAGAAAAACATAAATGGGTTATTTACAAATTGCTCTGTGTCTATCTCTTGTCCTAGTTTAATTTTATCTTGTTCCAAGCTCACCCAGTTAGAACATCAGACAGACCTGCTATGGAAACCAGGAAACTAATGCAAGCATCTCCTAAACTTCACTCCTCCATTTGACCCCAATGCAATCTCAGCCTGTTATCCCTCACACATGCTTCCTAATGATGTAACAGGTATCTTCACACAAACATCAGACTACAGCTGAATTTTGCTAATTCACACCAATGACCAGAGGATCTATTGCAAAATTACTGAATTAAAAAGCAAATTAAAGAGTTTTTAAAAAGCAAGGAAAATGTACCAAATAATATACTTCGTTCATTTATTTTGACAAAAGTAGTTTAATTTTATAACACTTTAAAAAATAGTGGTAGGTGCACTGTAATATATTGTGTAAAATAATGATGCCTTAGTAACATGCAATTTCATTGCTACTATTATATCTTTCCCGAGAAGGGGGGAGCACTGTTTTGGGGGCTAACTGTAGGATGTGCTAATTAGCTACATTTTTCTCCTCCACACCCATTTCTTTGATATTAAGACTTAGACGAACATAAAAATTTACAGATTTGCTTTATACAGCAAGTTTGCCAGTTCCGATAATGTGACGTATACTGGAATTTATCTTCTAGTGGGATGATGTATGAGTGTTTGGGGTAAATTTGAATTATAATAAAGTTTTCCATAAAATGGTCACAGCTGCACTGTAAATAGGAGATTCCCCGCAACAGTATAAGCCTGCGTGGTAAAAGCTTAACCACATTAAATTCAATACCAAGTACTTTCTTTGAGGTAGTAATTCAGTTCAGTTTATCTGAATAAATAAATGTTGCACTTAATTTTCTTTAATGGAAAATGTGAACAACAAACATAACAGGAAGGCAATGAAGCCTCTGAAACATTCCCCATCCTCTATATGCCTACATTGCTCCCGTATCACTGCAAAGCCTTTATGTTGTCTTCAGGTCATTTTCTTCAGATAACAAGAGCAACTTTTTTTTTGTTTAATGCTATGTCCTCCTTTCTGCCTGCAAGCAGCATTCTCAAAACCAGCCAGTAGGTGGATATTGTTATAGTCAGGGCTTTACTTTCAGAGACTGCATACATCACTTCCACAACGCACTGAGGCTCCTAATAGCCCCAGGCCTAGAATTCCTAAACTGCTTGTAAATGCGAGCTCCCTGTTGACTCCACCATTTTGCAACAGGCAATAACTTTTCTTAAAGCAGACATTACTTGATACACATCATTCGCTTCCTACTGAACAATATTTCCCAGAAATTTCTAGAGAACTTATGCTGGAAAACACTATTTAAACAAGCTCCTAGCAAATGCTGTTATATCTACAAGCACCCAATTAATAAGATTTTAAATTTATATGTTAAAGATTCTAAATGAGGAATTGATACTTGTCATATTTTGTCAATTGGGGAATGTATGACTATGTCAAGGATCAATTTAAAATAGTAAAACACACAAATGTATTATGCATTAAAAACAAATCCACAGTATCTAAAAGAAAATATTTGTATCGACAGTGGAACTGAGCAAAACTATACCAGACCAAAACAGGTCTGCATGACTAATTTTACTGACAGTTTACACAGATGGCATTTTTTTATTTCTTCAATATTCTATAGTTAAAGCCAGACCTAAAACTCCAAATTATCTGCATGGAAATAAGCACACATATTTGAAGAAGAAACACAATGGCATGAATTCTGATTTTTAAAAATAGATTAAATGTAACCGTTACTTCCGCAATACATTTTACAAGTCTGTATAAAAGTGATTTGTAGCAAGGAGACCTAACTTGGAAAGAACTGTACAGTAAAAGCTTCCAAGTTTCCTGAAAGTTTTCATCACTGAAGCAGAAAGCTAAATAAAACTGACAATTATCCATCATAGAAGCCTGCCTCTATTTAGGCTACAGAGGTCTTTTATAAAGCAATTTCAAATCACTACCCAAATATATTTGCTCTGATTTCATTAATGTAGTCTTCTCTTGCATCTTTAATTTAAAAAACTAGCTAGCAGCTATAAGAACCATAATAGAAACTTTGTAATAAATAAATAGTACACCGCTACCTCGATATAACGCTGTCCTCAGGAGCCAAAAAATCTTACCATGTTATAGGTGAAACCGCGTTATATTGAATTTGCTTTGATCCACCAGAGTGCGCAGCCCCACCCCCCCGGACCACTGCTTTACCGCGTTATATCGGGTCACGTTATTATCGAGGTAGAGGTGCAAGTATATATTTGATTCAAATCAATCTTTATTTCCTATATGGTAAGCACCTAAAAAAAAAAAAGGCTTCAAATAATCTAATCAACAATAAAAAAAACTCTTCAATTTCTAGAATTGCTAACTTGATGCAGTGTCAGATTTTTACTTTTTAAATTACTCTAAAACTATAAATTAGTAAGCCGCAAAAATGTAAACCACAAACTACCATCTAGAGCAGAATAACAGACAAATAGACAATAAACAAATAGACCCAATTAATTTCTACATTTATTTCTGTCATATATGTTCCTACATAGATTATTGCTTTTCATCAATATTGCTTACTAGTTATTAAAATAGCACTCAGAGGACCTAGCGAGGTTTGGGGCTCTATTGTGCTGGGCATTTATAAACACATGGGGTATGTCTATGCTTCAAGCTGGGGTGTGTGATTACCAGCCTGAGGCAACATGCCTGCAAGAGCTTTGATTAAGTTAGCACACTAAAAACTGACCAGAGCTATAGCAGCGGGAGGGGCTAGCTGCCCTGAGTACATGCCTAGAGTGTCTGATGGGTGTGTGTCTGGGGTGGGTAGCCCCTTCTGCTTCACATTTCACAGGCGTTTCCTCAGCCAGAAATAATTGGAAACCATTAAACATATATGTTTATACAGTTTATATACATACAATAGTCCCATATTTCCACGTGGCTCTCACACCTTTGTGCAGTGCAAAAAGACGTATGACTTCATATGACCCAGGGGATGGGGGGAAAATGAACCAAAACTACTGCCCCCTCCAAGGCAACCCTGGAGCCCCAACCCACTCCCATCTGGAAACCACCTTCTCCAAAACCCCGCACTCTCCCTAGAGCTCTCCAAACACCTACCTTTTGTCAGAGAGAGAGAAAAAATGTTATACAGGATATAAGCCCTCACTCCTCAGAGAATAAGCCTGACCGGGGTGAGAGAACAAGGGGGAGTCCCGGTGGCACTTTAAAGACTAAACCAGATTTATTTGGGCATAAGGTTCCGTGGGTAAAAAGCCCACTTCTTCAGGCAGGGTGAGAGAGAAACTCTTACAGGGAGCTTATTCCACAATTGCCCACTAAGTAGATTGCTTCTTGCGCCTCTCTTGGAAGCATCTGATACTGGCCACTGTTAGGGCTGGTCTACACTGGGGGGGGATCCATCTAAGATACGCAACTTCAGCTACGCGAATAGCGTAGCTGAAGTCGAAGTATCTTAGATCGAATTACCTGGGGTCCACACGGCGCAGGATCGACGGCCGCGGCTCCCCCGTCGACTGCGCTACCGCTGCTGGCTCTGGTGGAGTTCCGGAGTCGACGGGGAGTGCGTTCGGGGATCACTATATCGCGTCTTAACGAGACGCGATATAGTGATTCCCGCTAGATCGATTACTACCCCCCGATCTGGCGGGTAGTGAAGATGTACCCTTAGAGACAGTATACTGGACTAGATGGACATTGGGTCGGTTTCTGTCTGGGAATTCCGGGGGTCTGAAGACCCCCACTTCAACCCCAGAAAAAAAATACAACCCACCTGATCTCCTTCCCCCACATAGCTCCTGGCACCCCCAAAACCCAGCCCCAGCACCCCTGACCCCTCTGAAAACTCCTAAGGACCACTCCCCCCTCAAACTCCCCTGCCCCATCTACTGCTGACCTCCCCACACACCCGGAAGGGGGCAGCTCCTTCTCCCTGCGGCCCCAACCCCCGGCTCCTGTCCCGGCAGCCGCAGGCGGGCCGGGCGGTACCTGGAGTCGAACTTGCTGCCGTCGGGGAAGGTGCCGTGGTAGTGGTAGCGCACGAAGTCCCCGCTGCGCACCGTGCGCGCACACTGCTCCGGCACGAAGCTGCGCTCGATGTGCACATCCTGCCCGTCCCAGGGCTGCTCCCCGGCCGGCACCGGCGGAGCCTGGCACGCCACCCAGCTCACCAGCAGGGCGGGCAGCAGCAGCGAGCAGCAGCGGTGCCTCCACCGCCTGGGCAGCATCCCCAAGCCCGCCATGCAGCGAGAGGGAAGAGAAGGGAGGACGGAGAGTGGGGGGAATCCGAGGGGCCCTGCGAGCGATTCCCGGCCTCCAAGCGCCGTGCGGCCTGTCCCACGGCTGCTGCAAAATTTGCAAACGTGGTGGATGAAAAAAAAATAAAAATCCCATCCCCCTGCCTCCAAGAGGGAGGAGACAGCAGCCGAGGAGGAGGGGGGTGCCCAGGCGGGCGGGGTGGTCGCGGTGCACCGCTGCTGTTGCTACGGGTAGGTGGGTTCTGTTCTAGGCGCTACGCTCCAGCCCAAGTTCTTTTTGTTACATGTGGTTCGTAAGTTTCGCTGCTCTCCTGGAAACAGGCCAGAATCCAGGCCTCAGAGTCCAGGGGGAAAGGGAGGGAGAAGAGGCATCACAGCACATCCCCAGGAGTCAGGACCCTTCAGAAGTGAAAGGCGGGGTGCACATGGTGCAACGTGGCACTGATTCTGAGTCCAGCGCAATGTTGCTCTCCTCACTTCATGTTCCTTTGCTTCTTTCAGACTTTAGATCAAGGGTTTGATTTGGTTTAATTCCTCCAACATACACTTTTAACTACTATGTTGAACAAGTGATCACAACTTGTTCATTTGTCTCCATTTCTTTACAAATGTATTCATGCACTGTACCACGTTTAGTTTTTGCATTGTTAAAAAATCAAAAATTAAAAATTAAATTAAATAATATTTTCACTTAAACTGACTCCAAAAAGTATATTGTAATATTTTTAATAGTAATTTACCACTTGAATGCTGCTTTTCAACTTCAGATTCCATTGCAAACACTAGCTAATCCTCAGAACATTCCTTTGGGCTTGGTAAATGTTACAATCCCCAGTGTTTTAAACAGCTTTGGAGATTAAGGTAGAGAGATTAAGTGATTTGACAAAGGCCACAGCAGTAAGTGTCAAAGCTGGAATCAAAATTAAGGCCAGTTATAAGAACATAAGAACAGCCATACTGGGTCAGACCAAAGGTCAGACCCATCTAGCCCTGTATCCTGTCTTCCAACAGTGGCCAATGCCAGGTGTCACCCATTTCCAGCCTCTGGCAAACAGAGCTAGGGACAACATCCCTGCCCATCCTGGCTAATAGCCATTGATGGACCTATCCTCCATGAATTTATCTAGTTCTTTCTTGAACCCTGTTATAGTCTTGGCCTTCACAACATCCTCTGGCAAAGAGTTCCACAGGTTGACTGTGCATTGTGTGAAGAAATACTTCCTTTTGTTTGTTTTAAACCTGCTGCCTATTAATTTCATTTGGGGACCCCTAGTTCTTGTGTTATGAGAAGGAGTAAACAACACTTCCTTATTTACTGTACCCTCTGATTCTGCAAACACTTATGCACATGCTTAACTTTATGCATTGTTGGTAGTCAATGGAATGACTCATATTGGTAAAGTTAAGTACGTTCATGTGTATTTACAGAATTGGGGCCTTTGTCTGCAGAAAATGTTGGTAGACCTATTATTACACACACACACACACACACACACACACACACACACACACACACACACACAAGAGTAAGCAAGGTAGATAATCCCTTTTATTTGATTAACCATCAATTTCTAACATGAGCTTTCTGGCTAGGATAGGTACTTACTTGAGGTACAGTATCACTTTGTGATGCTATTTATTTGGTGTTCACTGATCATACACTTCATTGTTGATCATTACGGTAGAACCAAGGCCCAGTCCTGCAACTTAAACTTGTGCCAAAGCAGAGACCCATGCAAATCAGTGGGGCTTGGTGCACAGGCAGAAGACTGTCCATGTGCATTGTAAGTTGTAGAATCAGGATCTGTGGGCCCAAATCCTCATTCTTTGTGCCCCCAAAGCTCCCATTGACTCCATTGTAAAGTCAATTTTCCAATTTGCCATTTTGTTTTGCCTGACTTGTAGTATGCCCTCCATATTGTTACCCCTTCTTGTTTGCCAGTTGATGCCCTTTCTGTACAAGGCAGGAAAATGAAGACGGGAACAGTGTCATGTGATCTATGTCAGTGTTTTTCAAAGTTCGGGTCGCGACCCAGTATTGGGTCGTGGCATGTAAGGCACTGGGTCAGCTTGCTCAGCACCCAGGGACCCTAGCAGCTCTGGTCAGCTCCGCCGACCGGGACGTTAAAAGTCCCGTCGGCGGTGCTGCCCAGCTAAGGCAAGCTAGTGCCTACCTGCTCCAACACCGCACTGCGCCCTGGAAGTGGCCAGCAGTGGGTCTGGCTTCTAGGCAGGGGGGCCACAGGGCTCCGTGCGCTGCCCCCGCCCCGAGCACCGGCTCCACACTCCCATTGGCCTCCCATTGGGGAGGGCGGTGCCTGCGGGTGAGAGCCGCACGGAGCCGCTTGTGAGCCTCCGCCTAGGAGCTGGACCTGCTGCTGGCCGCTTCCAGGGCGCAGTGCTGTCTGCAATGCCAGGACAGGCGGGAAGTCTGCCTCTGCACCCCAGCTGCACCACTGACCGGGAGCCGCTGGAGGTAAGTCTGTGCCCCAACCCCGTGCCACAATCCCCTGCCCTGATCCCCCCAAACCTGGAACCCCTTCCTGCACCCCAAACCCCTCATCCTCAGCCCCACCCCAGAGCCTGCACCCCCAGCCCAGAGCCCTGACCCCCCACTGCACCCCAACCCCCTGCCCCAGCCCTGAGCTCCCCTCCAACCCGGAGCCCCTCCTGCACCCCAAACCTCTCATTCCCAGCCCCACCCCAGAGCCTGCACCCCAGCCCAGAGCCCTGACGCCCTCCTGCACCCCAACCCCCGGCCAGAGCCCTGACCCCCTTCCGCACCCCAACCCCCAGCCCAGAGCCCCTTCCCACACCCTGAACCCCTCATTCACAGCCCCACCCCGCAGCCCTTACTCCTGCACCCTAATCCTCTGCCCCAGCCCTGAGCCCCTCCCACACCCCAAACCCCTCATCCACAGCTCCACTGGGTCACGGGCTTCAACAATTTTCTTCAACTGGGTTCCCAGGAAAAAAGTTTGAAAACCACTGATCTATGTAATCTGTCCAGAAATAAGACTCTATATAAGGACTGTGTGCACAGGGCTGTCCGCCCCAGTGGCAGCCCAGTGCCTATTGTGTCCTAGCCAAGATTATGAGTCAAGAAAAGAAGAGAAGATCTGCTTACCCGTTGTTCCTGATCCTGTCGTGTTGTCGTTCCTGGTCCCCTGCGTTGTTCCTGTGTGATCCTGTGTACCTATCTCCTGGCGTTCCCTGTGGTTTTGTCGTGCTCCCAAATCTGTGTGTAGTCCTTGTTCTGTAGGAGCATCAGATATGGTGATGTATTGATCACCTTGATTTATTTGTATACCTACCTGTGTTATTTTGAGGTCCTTGGCTTCAAGTCAAGCTATGGGGTTAACAGCTGAGTGCTTTTGTTATATGTTTATACTTGTTTGTTGTTGGTTGTAGGGTTCTGTTTAATAAATACCTGTTTGTTCTTTATACCTGCCTTCTTAGTATTCTTAAAGTGTCGATCACCCCTGGTGACAGATACGGGAGGGGGCATGGATCTGTAGTGTGGGGGGTTTGTCGTTAAATCCTTAGCTCCTTGTGGATAATACCCTGTACTGGGTTAACACCATCATTTCAGCTACAGAAGTGAAACAAACATTAAATGCTTTAAAGATACTGCACAACTGTACAACATTTTTGAGGGTATCAACATAGTGCTAGGAAACAAGAGCTGCCAATTGGCTAGGTAGACAAGGCCTAAGACCCAGCTTCTGTTCACTGCAGCAGAGAGGAAGGTGGACAGGAAAATGGTTACTGCTCCCTGATTCTCAGGGAGGGTCTGTGCAATGGCGTATATTAAAGAAGCCTGCAAACTGCTGTAACATACACTAGCTGGCATTGGTCCCTACAGGATAATGTGTCCGCTGAGCATAGCCAGCAACATGCTTCGACCATGCCCCAACCCAATTCCTCCCCACATCTGACATGCCCTATGCCAAGGCCAAATAGAGGGAGTGGCATCTCCCTACATCAATGGATTTCTCAGCTGGACAGATCTGGCTGCTTTCTGACTCCTCAGTGCTGCTCAGGCAGCATAAAGGGGCTAGACCAGAACAGAAAGTGTCCAGTATCTTTGTAAGGGAAATTATTCTTAACCATTTAACTAGTTTCTCAAAGGGAAAACATTTAGAAACCCCTACTTATATGCTGGTTAGGAAGAACAAATGCATTGCAAATTAACTGGCTTCTCTGGCACTACTCTGGGTAATGCCTTCCATATTCTTCACCAACCTGAAAACCACAATGATGACTAATTTCCTTTGGGCGGGAAGATGAGCACAGACCTGCTGCCTAAAGTTACTACAGAAACCTGTCCTAAAGGGAGGATTGTCATTCCCAGACTTCAAAACACCACACAGCTAGAGGGCATTCTCTCCTGGAGAACTGTCTTTCAGGAATGCCAGTGGATAGACATGGAATGAGGAGTAAGAGGGGTAGAAGAATTAAAGCTGTTAGGTGAAAAGAATGTCCAGAAACGTGCGGAAATTCACTCCACCACACCCCAGCCACGGTTTGCCCCACATTTCTTAGGAAATAATATGCGTTCCACGTAAAGCTCACGCTAACCTAAGCCCATCCACCATGATATGGCACAATATCTGGTTTTGATTTTCAAATATAGTAGGCAAGGGACCAAAATGGAGCTCAAAGGGCTGATACATTGCCCCTGATTGTTTTGAGAGGCAAGCGTTCTTTCCTTGGGAGAGATAAGAAAGAAAGTAAAACAGCCAAATAATTTACCCTTCTCATAGTTACAGATGTGGAGCTTTGTTACTGAATCCACTGTCACAAACTATGTACCAGAGAGCAGTGTTACCATTTGAGTTCACAGATTTTCAAAGGGACATTTGGCAAGAAGTTAGACACCTAACTGCCATTTGCTTCTCTGAAAATCTCTCCTTATGCTACTTACACAAAGTGAGTTTGGAAACATTCAGGGAAACTACAGATGGTGTTGTGTTGTGTTGATGAATCCTCTCAGCATGAAGAATCATTTATGCTAGCATGGGAAAGGGAACTAAATGCCCAGCTTGAGTCTGAAGTATGGAAAGATATCATTCTTGTGTTACTTGAGATCTTGTTCTGTTTTTTTTTTTAATATGCTTGAAATGAACTACAAGACTATAATAAGATGGTAACCCTAGTGTAAATGAAAATGCCCATGACACATCGCATGGATAAGTATAGGGGAGTTTGACACCAGCAAGATGGGGGATGAATCTATGAGCTATTCTGCTGCATA